TTTCCCTATATCGGGGTGATTAATTTGTCTTCCTTGACCTTCAGGATGCTTATTTTTTTATAGCCATGTACCCCATCTACAGATGTTTCCTATGTTTTGTAATTGACAGGGACTGCTACTGGTATTGCATTCTATCCTTTGTCCTCTCAACTTTCTCAAGGGTCTTTCCCAAAATTTTCTTGGCCATTGTACCCCATTTTCACCAAATGGTGGGAGTTATCTATCCATACCTGGATGATTAGATCCTGAAAGGTCACTCATTTCTCAAGGTACAGAGAGCAACCAGGAAGGTTCTGTCTCTTTTCTACTCCCTGTGCTGCTGCCTCAGTTCAGAATAGGGATGTAAGTGATGAGTTGATTGCTCGATAAACATATGCTTATCCGGTAGTTGCTCGACTAGTCACCCCTCCCACCCTCTTGCTGCTTCTTTCGGAGAGAGGCAAGAAAGGGAGGGGGAGCAGGAGCTGGTACTGAAGGGAGCTGGCTTAAAAGCTGGTTTCCCCCCAGCACCATCTCTGCGGAGGGAGGAGGGAAGGGGAAGTAGAGACACAGTAGGGAAATGGCATGAGCAGGGACTGAAGCAGTCTCCGCTCCTGCCGGTCTGACTGCTGTGCCTCTCCTTGTGAAATGTAGCAAGTGGCCCATGAAGGCTCTTGCTACATTTCAAAGGGAGAAGTGGAACTCTGGCCCATGAGGGCTCTTGCTACATTTCAAAGGGAGAAGTGGAACTCCAGGCAAGCGGTGACTGCTTGAGTCCCCGTTGCTCTTCTGCCTTTTAAATGTAGTAAGAGCCATGGATGGCTCTTACTACATTTAAAAGGCAGAGGCACAGTGGTGATAGTGAGTGCCCCATCCCACCCTTTATTGACTAATCAAGTAGTCAATGGAAATTCCATTAACTACTTAATTAATTGATTAATCAAAATTTAACTTCCCTGGTTCAGAAAAGTCTGTACTCACACCTGCACATCATGTAGCATTTAGTAGGACTGTTCTGCACTCTACTGCTTCCAGAACATACTCCTCTATAACAGGTTTTCCACAGTGTCCAGATTCATTTCAGCAATACAACAGAACTCACAAATCACAGCAAGGGCTTGCCTGCAACTCTGGGGCCACATGGATGCTGGTATGTGTGTGACTTCCTTTAGGAAGACTATAGTCCTGAGGTTTTTGAGTCTGGACAAGAAGAGCTTATATCTCCAACAAAACAGACCAAGTTGAAGTCTATACCTCAATCAAAATCTATACCTAAATTAGCAGAAAGATCCACAAAAGGCATATGTGGGTGTTCCATTTTCGTAGCCTCCTCCCACAAGAATCATAGCCATAGACACCATCCTGGTAGGCTGGGTGTGCATTTTCAGCACTTCACAGCTTAAATCAATTGGACTCATAGGAGACAATAGACCCCAAAGTAGTTTAAATTTGCTAACACTTGTTTTCCAACATTGGGGCTATCTGATGGATAACAGAAAAAATATGTATATTATCAATTGGGAAGGGGGAGTATGAGCTAAATCCTAACATGCTGAGTCAGTAAAATTATGGAACTGGTGCCTCATTCTCTGTGGTTTGTCATCGAGGACTGCAGATCATAGTGACAGACTCCCTTATCAGGTATTTCAGCCTGAAAATAATATAGATTTGTCCTACTGGGGGTTATCCAGAGACAGATTTTAGTGACACTATCCAGCATGTATTGTAGACAGTTTTGTTTGCGGTCAGGGCACTGCTGCAACTCAATGGGTTATCCTAGTTATCCTTGGCCCTGTGTATTGGTATACGTTTATTCCACTATACCAATTGCTTAGTCTTGCACAGATTGAAACAGAGTAAATTAGCCATTCTCGTGGCACTGTTGGAGCTGAGGGAGACATGGCTTTCTGAGTTTGCATGTCTGAGCAACTGCTTCTCCATCTCTGCCTGATTGCGCATTTCCTCACCATAACCCACCCCAGCTTATCGAGGTTTCCCCTGAAGGCATGGCTACAAGATAGTTCATTGTTATAGAAGATGATCGCTCTCTGGAGGTACTTCTCAAAGTGGAAAACCTACCTACAGATAGGGAAATGTTTTCATCTGGTGCATCTGTCAATGTATATCTCCTCCCAAGTCTTGTCTGACACATTCTCAGTTGCCTGCTAAATCTGAAGACCATTTGATTATTGCTCAGCTCAATTAAGATTCATGGCCCTATTGAGAGATTTTCAGTCTTTATGAATTCAACCACTATGAGGTTTATTAAGAGGGCTATCAACCTTTTTCCTCCTGTGAAAGAACCTACTTATTTAGTCATAATGTATTGAAGAAGCCTACATTTGACTTTATGGGGGCTTATTCCCTCTTTCATTGGTTCCTCAGGACCTTCTTCTTCGTAGCCATTATTTCAGCTAGGAAGGTAGGGGAGCTAGGAGCATCCTGAGGGTTGACCAACTGTATACAGAGTATAATCATGAGAAGGTCACACTACGTCCATGCCTGCACTTCCACTGCAGTGTTTCTTCAGAGTTCCACATAAATCAGGAGATTCACCTACTGTCCTTTTACCCCAGGCCTTTGCTCTTTCGGCGAAGAAATGAGACCTAAGAAAAAGACATCTGATCTCCACCTGAAGGCTGTTTAGATGGGTTGCAGGATGCACCATAATCTGTTGTTAAGCCTCAGGAGTTTGTCTCCTTCCTATGATGGCTCATTACAACAGGGTTCAATCTGCCTCTGGTGCTTCTGGAAAACATACCTATCTCAGATGTCTGCAGGTCAGCACTTGACCTTTGGAGCGCACACTTTCTAAGTACTTTCTCTGTACTCATGGCTGCTTTCAGAGTTGATGTGGCTTTTGGTGATACTAGTCTAAGGTCTGTAATTAATCTAACTCTTCTCCATAATTGAGGTACTACTCAAGAATCTCCTCAAGGAAAGCAACAGTAGGAGAGATTATGCTTCACTGCCATTCTTTTTCTACTCTGCTTTCCAATTTTCTAACAAGATTTCATAGTTGAGAAGGGACTGGAGCAATGGAGGGTCCACACCCGCCTTCCCTTCCCAATACTACTCTACCAGAAAACAAAGATATCTAGAATGCAGATAGTGTTCCCTCTAAGCTGTGACACAGCACAGCTTCACAGTCAGAGGCTAAGGGCTTCATGCAGGGAGCTGACTGGGCGGGGCTGATTTAATCACCTGTGAAGCTGTGCTCCTGGCAGCTTAGAGGGAAATCTGGATGGAGATGCAGGCCAGCAGATGCTGCTGTTTGAAAATATCGAATCAAAAGTGAGTGTTCACTCACACATCCTGAAATGGATCACCCAGAGGGACACACATCTTAAAGAACTCCAGTTACTGTTCAAGGTTAGTAAGCTTTCCTTCTGTAAGCATCTCAAGGGTTTCTGAATTCTTGATAATGGAGTGATTTTTTTTTTTGAATTTTTAGGGGAAACTGACAGTCACAAAGAACATTATTAATTTGTTAGATCTATCTTGTTAACATCCAGAAATAATTCATTCTCAATTTCTTTTTGCCAGTATTGAAGCAGCAGTGGCTACTTTTGCTCAAGCCAGACCACCAGGTATCTACAAAAGTGACTATTTGAAAGAGCTCTTCCGTCGATATGGAGATGTAGATGATGCACCACCACCTCCTGAGCTGCCTGAATGGTGCTTTGATGAAGATGATGAAGAGGAAGAGGATGAGGAAGATGTTAAAACAGGAGGTCAAGAATCAGAACCTGGGTCTTCAAGTTCAACTTTTGGCAAAAGGAGAAAAGAACAACTAAAACTGGTAATGTTGTCCAAAAGGTTAACATTTTGCTTTATAAACTGACTTTGGTGAATTCTTAATCACTAAATGTTACATGATGTCTGACAGAAATTCCAGCTGTTGTCAGTGAGGTACTGATAGCACTGTTTAGAGCCAGGCATAACATGAGTTGGTAGAAAGCAAGATTCTTAATTCTTGTATAATGTTTTTTACCTTAACTTTCAATCTGTCTGCTATTCCTGAGCAGAGATTTGTTCATATAAAATTGTAACAAGATTATTTGGTGGGTTCCTGATAGGAACAAATGATTTGTTGAGAATGGGTAGAGACTAATGTATTCTTTTCATTTGTGAGTAAAATTTTCAGAGGTGTAAACCAAACCTTGCTGATAGATGCATATAACTTTCATTGATCCTTTCAACCCAACCAAGCAGTTGAAATTCAAACTTTTTTTTTTAATTAGAGTTTAATTTTCACATACATTCCAGGTAGAGCTTCTGAGGATTATTCTGGCAAGCAGTACTGTCAACAGAAAAGGAAAAAAACCCAAAAATCAAAAAAAGCAAATTAAAATTAAAAGCTGTGAGAAATTGTCTAAGTAGACTAAAGCAGTTATAGAAAATAGTTATACAAGATTGATCAATTACTGTGACCATCTCACAGATCTGAAATAGGCATACATAACTATATAATATACTATTTATCATAGCTGTAAATAACTAGGGTTGCCAGATGTTTTCAACAGAAATACCGAGTGCCACAATACAAAACTATGTTGCTTTAATTAAATATATGCAATAGAGAAGCCTTAGGTTTTGTCTGGAAATATTCTTCGATTCTTAAGGGAAATAGAAAACTAAAACTTCAAATACCTACAACCCTATACATAACATAATGTAGAAAATAATAATCCTAGTTAGAGTAGGAAAAATATGGTTTTGTTGTGCCTTATTCTTACTAAGCTTTAGCTTTTTGTAAGACATGTTGATATAGCTGAGTTGAAAAAATCGTTGACTGCATAGTTATGTACAATTTTATCTACGTAGTGAAGTATTATTATCTAACTGAGGTGCTGAGAGGTTTGGGTATTTATAATTAAATTCTCACATGAAATGTGCCACAAGTGCATTATTACTCTTCATATTACTAATGGAAGCATAGCTGTTGATTGGGGTGAACGGTTAGGCTGGGTAAGGAGCTAGCTTGAAAAGAATATAGAATCTGATCCAAAGCAGTAAACGCAAAAACTTAAGCGTAGTCTATTAACTGGCATAGCAGAATAGTTAAAACACTAAAATTAATAAACGTTCAAAGTGTTTTAAGAGAAATAGTCCCTTATGTCTAGTCTTCCTTTAAAGATGTACAGGAGAATTTTGTCTCTTCAGGCTTCAGTGGCAAGGTTTTCTATTCTCCCTTCAGGTAATCAAAAAAAGATGTAGACAGGCTACTGGGCTAGATGGACCTTTGGTCTGACCCAGTACAGCCATTCTTATGTTCATCAATGACACATTTGAAATCTGATTTCAGCAAGAGACATTGCTGGGTATTTTGTAGATAATGCAAAAATTATACTCCCAAACCATTTTTACAGCCTGAGTTTGGTACATCAAATTGATGAGCATTTGACACAGAAATAGAAGCCTCATAAGTGAATTCTCAAACTACATGGGCGTGCTGCAGCTGATCCTAATACTCTCGGGTACAGATAGAGAATGCAGTGGGACATACTGCATGCTATACCTAAAAATTAAAAACGTGTGGGTATGATCGGTTGGCTGGCCATTTCTTAAAATTTTATAGCAGACACCTGCCTGCATCAACGAATATATGTTGGGCAGAATAAAAGTTTAGCTGAAGCAAAGTTTAGCTGAAGTTTAGCTGAAGCAAAGCATTTTGCATTGTGGGTAATTGATTAATTGAATAGTCAATGCATTTTGCATCGATTATTCGACTGGTTGATAGGTCATTTCCGCCTTTGAAGTGTAGAAACAGCCCTGGAGCTGTTGCTGCACTTGAAAGGTTAAAGCACCACATGGCGTCTGGGGTCAGGTGAGGGCTCCCCCGCTGACTCTATGCTCTGTGTGGTGCTACTGGTTTGAAACGCTGCAGGAGCCCAGAGTTAGGCTCCCCACAGCGTTTCAAAGTGGTAGTGCTGTCTGGAGCCTGGGATCAGCTGGGAACTCCCAGCTGACCCCGGGCTCTGTGTGGCACTGCCGCTTTGAAACACTGTCACAGGAGCCTGATATCAGGCTCCTAGTGGCATTTCAAAGCGGCAGCGCCGAGTGGAGCCTGGGATCAGCTGGAGAATCCCCAGCTCATCCTGGGCTCCATACAGCTCTGCCACTTTGAAATGCTGCTAGGAGCTTGACCCTGGGCTCCGACAGTGTTTCAAAGCGACAGCACTGCACGGAGTCTGACGCTGGGCTCCCCTCGGTGTTTCGAAAAGGCAGCACCACATGGAGCTTGGGGTCAGCGGGGGAGTCCCCAGCTGACTCTGGGTTCCACATGGCACTGCTGCATTGAAATGTCAGGAGAAGCCTGACGCTGGGCTCCTGCGGCACTGTTTCAAAGCGGGAGCACCGTATGAAACCCAGGGTCTGCTCCACGCAGTGCTTCTGCTTTGAAGTATCTCCTCCTTTCCCTCCCCCCTTACTGCCTCTTTCTGACAGCAAAGGGAGGTCAGGAGGAACTAGTCAACAAGCTTCTTGACTGTCCGATAAGTATTTGCTTATCGGATAGTCGATTAGTTCTTCACATTGCTAGCTGAAGCATGCTCTGCTTCATGAGCAGTTCTAGAAAAGAAAATTGCTTTTTCAGTGGCCACCCATATCCTTATTATTTGCCAAGGAATATGATCTGTTGTATTTTACATAGGGGACATCCTATGATGTTTCTTTGGCATCATATATGTCAGAGGACATGTAGTTCTTTCAAGGTAAATGATTGGAATTAATTGGTTGCAAACCACTGTCCTGGAAAAACAATGTACTGTTGCAGGCTGCATATTCAGCTCTCTGTTATATATGTATGCACACAATACAGGCAGTCCCCGAGTTACGCGGATCCGACTTATGTCGGATCCGCAGTTACGAACGGGGCCCTCTCCCTGGTCTCCAGCAGACCAGA